GGCCCCTCCCCGCGGGGGGGGAACCCCGCGCCAGCCCCTGGCACTTCAACGTGCTGCATGCATGGCCGGCCGGCCACGGCTGGACTCTCCCTTGGGCTGGGCCAGAGCAGTGCCATGACTGGGAGGCTCCCGGGACGCTTTTCCTGCTCCTGCGCCCTGGGTGGGGGGGAATCAAACCTGCTAAATCGCTGCCGTGTGTCTCCGTCACAGGGACAACGCCGACGCCTCCTCCTGCCGGCAACACGACTGGTAAGTAGCCCCCGGGACTAAGTACCTAGCAGGCCCGAGGTCTCACCACAAGGCCCAGCCAGAATGGCCAGGAATTGCTGCCTGGGCCCCTCGAAGGCAGGGGTGGATTGGGAATTGCAGCTGCCTTCCACCGAGTCCCCCGGTATGGGGAGGCGCGATGGGCCCCTGGGGACACGGGGCGGGGGGTTAAACCCTAGAGCCGAGAGGGTAAATAACAGCCCCCATGTCCCACGGGGAAGGGATGTTTTCAGGGCTCTCACCCCATTCTCTCTTGGCATCCTAGCAGAACCCATCAAGAAAGGTCAGTAGCTCCTGAACCCCACATCACACCCCTTCCCCCGCCTCCCGCTTGGTCCTTTCCCTCCCATGTTCCCTCATTTTTTTTCCCCATCCACGTGTGGAATCAATTTTGTACTGTGCACCGAGGCATGTGCATTGTGCACCACCAGTAGAAACACAGGTTGCCGGCTGCGAGTGCTGTAATCAGCCGGGTGGCACTGCAATCTCTCCTGGCTGGCCACCCAAGCTCTCAGCTTCCAGGGAACACTGCTTCCCTCCTGAAACCCCAGCCTGCTTTGTTTGGAGAGTTCCCCTTGCACCGCCAAGCAGCCTTCCCCTTTGCTGCGTTGGGCCCCCTGCTGTTTGCAAAGAGCAGCGCTCGCTCCCGAAAACACAGGAACTAGAACTTGACTGTTTCAGTCCAGGCTTCCCCTAGTCTCCACATTCTTTGGCCCACGCTCAGCTGGGATCTCTGGCCCGGGGCACCGTTTGGGTGGCAGATGCTGCAGCCGGGGGGCGAAATCAGAGCCCCCAAGCAGGCAGTGGGGTGAAGTCGGCTTCTGTTTGTGCAGCACGTCTCTGAGCGGATGGAGGTTTTATACCCTCTGGTTGAGATACCGGGGGGAGGGGAGGTGGAACGTGCCCGGGGCTCATTTTCAGAAATGGCATCTGCACAGTCCCTCGTAGCCAAGTGCCCCGCTGCACGACTGCTGTGCCCTGGGAAGAGCTTGTGGCCTTGTGTCGTGGGCGGGGAGTTCCCAGCATGAGAGTGAACGCGGAATACACGGCAGGGTGCAAACCTCCATTCCTTGTGTCCCATAGTGCTACCCCTCCCCCGCCAGCAGCATCCCCCACCGTGGGCGCCGCTCGCCGTGCTGCGTGCACCCCCCTCTTGCAGGCTGCCGGGGCATGTCGCGGGGCACCCCAACGCTGCTGGGGTGGGAGGGAGGAGGTGCTGCCGAGGGGGGAGGGCATTACTCTAGGCAGCTGAGTGGTGGGGCAGTGACGGCACCCGTGTGTTGGGAGCAGAGCGCAAAAGCCAGGAGAGCAAGGGCGTGATCATCGTGGCCGTCATCGTGTGCATCCTGGTGATCGCCGTGCTGGGCGCCGTGCTCTACTTCCTGCACAAGAAAGGCAAGATCCCCTGCGGGCGCACCGGGAAGCAGGACATGTAAGCAACCGCGCCCCCCGGCTGGCCAGGGCTTGGCGCAGACACGCACCCGATCATTCACGCTTCCCATCTCATCGCATCCAGGCACCCTGCTCCCCCCACCCCCACCCCCGGAAGGGCTGGGAAGCCTGGCTGCCGTTCTCATGCAGGCAGGCCAGGATCTAGGGGAGCCCGG